CTTCAATGTCGCGCCGTCCCCCACCCTCCTCACCCGCCACGCCTGCACAACACTCTGCATCTGTTGGAAAAATGCTGCCTCGTCAATTACTGCGACCTCCTCAGAGGGAGTACGGTTTTTACTTGAGCTCCTGGAAGTTGCCTCGAGTACGTAGACCGTTCTAGCTATCAAAATCTGATGCGCCCGTATTGATGTCCCAGGCTAACAGCCAATCATATGCGTGACTGGGAGGTCTCATACCTCCCTGGCCCGATATCCCAGAGGTTTACATACCTCGTTGTAGGCTACTCAAGAAGTCGTGGGTGGTACGGAAGTGCAGGGCGCGTATGCGATGTCGATGTGGAACAATTATGTGTCTTGCTGCATTGAAGTCTCGAGGATGGAGCTGGGGGATGTGGAGATCGATCATACAGCGAGGTGCGCGATCGAGGCAAAGGCGCAGCCAGTCTGGGTTGGGATTCACGTGGATCACCTTCCAGAGCGAGGCGACGTCGCAAGCTATGCTATACCAGAACTTGCAGACGAGCAGAATTTGGGTCCAGCCTGCTTTTTGAACTGTCTTGCTTTCCAGAGATGCGAATACAACGAAGATTTCGGCAAGTATTTCGACTGGGAGGCGATGGATTGGCGAACCACCGAGGAGCTCGCGCCGTGTAGGGCTTGGCTTCACTCGAGCAGCTGATTGTCTAGGTCTGCGTGTAAGATTACACATCAGTAGAGCACACCTGTAATTCACTAGGTCACGAACAGCGACATGGCGAATCGTAAATTGGTCCCTGAGGTCATAGTGTCTTGCCAGGTACTACGTTTTGCACGGAGGACAAATTGAGAGCAGTACAGTGACTATGGATAGGTTGTGATGGCGTGAAAGAGGCTTTGAGTTCCTTCTGTCACTTGAAAAGCAGAGGAGTTGTGCAACGCTTGACTCACCTAGATGGAGGTCCGAGAAAGAAAGTTGCGGAGCCTCAATTTGGCGCCGCTCAACGAAGTTGGGTTGGACTTGGTGATGTTCCCACCCACACTAGCTGGCCTGCGTGGGAGATCTCGAGTGTACATTCCGCCTCTCTGGGTGTCATTATTATCATTATTAGAATCTTGTCTTATACCAAACGCGCATACAGGTACAGAACAGGTACAGTAAACGTGTAAGTAAGCGTCTTATCCCAGTTTGTTTGACATTTCCACCCGGCACGAAATCCGAAGAACGTGCACCGGCGTGCTCTCTCTGGGTGCCATGGCGAGAGGAGTGACAAAAAAGCATGCATGTACCACCTCGCTCTGGTACAACGTATCACGTAGCCAGTGATCAAACTGCCAACGAGTCACAAGATTCCGCAAGCGCCTGCTTCGGCTAGATCCGGTCGTATCTTGAACGCCAGCTCCGAGTCTCACGCCAACGTCATCCAGAGGCTGCTTCTCCGGGAGTTTCAGCTTTGAATCCATATCCGTTCCTCTGCTTCTCACGACATCAATACAGGTATTGTGTGTCCCTCCAAGCTAAATTACGAAGTATGTGATCAAGCATCCGCGGCACGTCGTCCGGCTTATAATAATTCTCTAGAGAATGGGCGGACTCCCTAGAACTTCGACTCTATGTACCAATCATACATAATCGGAAAGGCCTCTCAGAAGCCCTGTCCTTCAAAATTGGAATAATTGCGGGCCCGCAGCTCTGGGGTGGCACCCGCACTCTCCGAGACGCGCGCTGACAAACCGCAACGGATATATTGCTCAGCACTCCAATTTAGCGGATCCGTCTCTGATGCAGACTCGGGCAGTGCGCGACCGTGCACTGACAGGCGCACACTCAAGAATCTCACGAGCATAGGGTCTCTCGGCGCAAGTGGATGCTTCCTTGACACCACTCCCCAGTCCAATACCGTAAAAATCAAACGCTACTATTCCCCCCAACCTCAATACACAGCGATACTGCACGTGGAGAGCCGCGGGTAAGTTGATGAGAGCTTATTGTAAGGAGCTGTGAAGCGAGATTACTTCTCAAATAGGCACATAAACACGACATACGACATCATTGCCCGAGGGCGTCTATTAGGATGACTTAGGAGGAGCTGGTGGGGACGACGCTGGTGACGGTGTGCGCGACCGTCCATACAGTCTCGGTACTGATTGTGGTTATGTAAGGCTCCGCTGCAAGGACGGGAGGGGTGCCACTAAGTCTATCGTCACCTGCTATGGACGACAAAGACTTTCACGTACTCGTCAACATGTTCTCGAGGATCCTGGTCGCCGTGAAAGTTTGGGTTGTGAAGTGGGTGGTGAGGGAAACATCGTCCGAAGGAGAGACCTCATCGACAACGTCCGCGGGCTACAAATGAGATCAGGTCAATGAAGGAAGCTTGTCAAGCTGCTCATGCGGACGACGCACAGCGGCAGACGCAAGAGCGGCGAAGCTCGCAAACACGAAGAGAGCCTTGTACTGCATGTTGTTGAGAGACGAGCGGATGTGCGTGTTAGTCACGGTGGAAACGAGCGGGTAGTTCGTTGTGGTGGGCAACTGGGGTCGGCACAAGTTCTCGCCGAATCTTATAAGGACTCTGTGGATAAGTCAGGCTGCGGGAGATGAGGGGCACTGTGCTACGCTGACCAAGTAGTATGTAGTTCAAAGACGTAAGGCTCCGATCTTCGTGCGAGGCGCAGTTGGTCATGCTTCACGGCCGCATCTTTACATTTTTGCTGAGGCTGATGAGCGAGCGAGTGGGGTGAAGTTCCTGGCGTCTCCCCTCCGCAGTGTCTAAGCAAGGGGATTATTGCTCACGATGAAGGGAAGGACGCGGGGAGTGATGGAGTCAGTCATAGCGATGACAGCGGCGCTGCCGGCGTGAGTCGGCCCCCGTGCTTTCATCGCGTTAGCGAGCTGCGGACGCGCCGGCTAGCGAACACAACAACTGCGAACATCGTAGGAGTTGCTTAGCCTGTACACAGCGTGGAGCTCTGTCATACTACTTATTCAAGTAGATTTGACAGAGCAGGATCCATATTGGGACGATGTGAGATTGATCCGGGGCCCTCCCCCGAGCGCGAACGTTAACTGCGAATCTCAGATGAGGCACTGATTATACTTACTACCTAGCGACACAACCTCTACAGTAAGACACCGGAAGCAAAATGCCTCCCATCTACTGCAGTAGTTGCAGCCCTTGTATGCTATCATGACAGATGACCGCCGGTGAACGCTGAACGCGCCGTTGAACGCTGAGCGCGCCGTCCAGGGAAGACGTGGGCAGCCTATGGTCAAGTATATCAGTGCTGGAGAATCCCAGCGACGACGACGACGAGGATAAACTGCCTATGCGCATGATAAGTGCTTTGGAAAAATTGCAGTATCGAAGCGAGCGAGGGCCTGGTTGTTATTCTTTGGCCACCCGGCCTGCAACGTTGGAAGCCATCCCACAGGGTGAACGTCCTTCGCCCGCAGACGTACCTCAACTGCTCAGAACATCGAGGGGCGAAGTTACAGAACGTCCTCTTGCATCTTTGCAGCCGGAAAGCGGGCACAGACTCACCCACGACTCGGAGTGCTCGCGAGTGCGCTGTTCCAAAAACAGAAATTCGCGCGGTAGCCGAGTATGAACAAACACAGGCAAACAACCCCGCGTGCGAACGCATCCGGCGTTGGTACAATGTTTGCCGCCTCGGTGACAAAGCACTTGTCGCCGTTCGACTTGCCCCGAAAGGAGGGCCACCATGACTTGAGGCCGTGTAAGTATCGGGACGTTCGAAAGGGCCAGTTTTCATACATCACCTGAGAAAACCTCTCATCGTGTCCGACGTCCCCAACTGCGCGCTGATGCGTAGTGTCGGCCTCATGCACTAAGTAGCAATTATTGTCTTTTCCCAGCACCGCTTACTAGGTTACGCGCTCAGACGGCCGCCCTGGAGTGCCGAACAAGCGAGTGACTAACGTTCTCTGCTCGTCAGGCACTGCTCTACGGTCCAACTAGGACTTCGCCAGCGTACTGGAGACGGCTCTCATGGCTGGCGTGACCCACTGAACTACCGCGACGTCGGGGTCGTTGCCTAACGTGGTAGTATGGTGATGTTGTATCTATTACTCGGACCGCAGCTAATGCCTAGACCGTGTGCCTTTCATCGGCGGTTCACTAATTCTGCGGTCAGTCGTGACCCGACGTCCGCGCAAATTTTGCGCTTCATGAAAACTACCGTTGCTCGTTGCAGGAACGCGGTGTGAAAACGACTTGATGACAATATTTACGGCCGCGCTTCCAAGCCTGCAGGCATAAAATCTTCAAGATGCCCACTTCATAGTTCAACACGTCCAATTCGGTGTTTCGTCTTTCTCCAGCTCTCTTCTCAGTGTATCGATATACGCTTGTTGACACATCATGAACAGGTTCCAGTCCCTCGCTGACCTTAGAGCCCTCAGCCTTTTTACACCCACCTTGTCGCTGGTGTCTTTGGTCTGGTCGGGGACCTAATGGTTCCCAATGATAACATTTCTCTTGACTATTACTCTCGCGCTGCTGTGCTCGCGCCCACCGACTCCGGTCACACCCGCACGCATTTGAAAAGCATGTCTAGGACCACCCGGGAGACCACCCGAGAGCATTCTGCTACGGCCGTCTCCAGGTGAAGCGCTCGCAGTGAGGACAGTGCGGTACGTCGACGTGGTCATACTCGCTCCACTGCGGCTGAAGCGCAGTCATGACGCGCTCATGATCCACGGCACGCGGCCCCACAGAAATGTGGTCCAGAGGCGGCAGGCTGTCGAAGAACCCTTCGTACGTGCTCATTTTTCAGGACTAGCAGGTGGACGAGTTTGAGGTGCCATATGGTCATTCATGCGAGCATATATAAGAGGCAGCGGAGCTGACAGCTGATGTTCTCGTGGTCTCGGTGTGGCGTTCCGACCTGAAAGAGAGCCCGGTGTCTGATCCTGCTAATGCGGTGTTGAGGATAGAGTAACCTGCAAGGTCCTGGTCGGATTGTCAACCCCATTGGGGATGAGATGGAGGGAGATTGCAGACATGTGCGTCAGGAGGGATGCCGAATGAGGGATGATCAGTGGCGTTCAGTTGTGATCAAAGGGCAAGCTGGCGTGGATGTCGACATAGCGTAGACTCCCACTGACTCTGAGCACCGAGACAGGTGAACCTCCCCTCGAGAATACTGACAATGTCGTCAGAAGATATAGCTCTTCCGGATAGCAGATCCAGGTTTACGTATGGCTTGAGCACGCGCACCGAAGTTCAGAACATCAGGAGCCGAGCTGGTAGTACACTGTACACACCATGACCCCCTTCCGCTCTGCACTCGGATGCGGCAGAAACGTTAAAGCATGACTCTATGTAGCGTTCCACAGGCGGTGTCTCGTTGGTACAGAAAAAATTAATGTAATGAATCTTGCTTCTAGGTCCAAGACTACGGGGAAATTTGTTGTAGCAATTGCTCCAGTACCTCCGCTTGAACCAGCTTCTGCAACTGATGTGTATCCTGTCATTAGTATGTTCTACTACACAGAAGAAGGTGACCCACCATAGTTTCTATCTCGGGAAATTCAACGTCCGGAAAACTCGTCTCTATGTCAGGGCCCCCATTGGCCTCCTTGCCCACTATGTTTCTGCCATGCCGGCCTGACCACGTTCGCCACTCTGGAGTGGTCGGGAGCAATTCTGATACCACATCGACCATGTACTTGTCACAGAAAGTGCCATTGGAGTAGAAGGGGCTGCGATAGATGAAGCGGCCGCACAGCATACTGATAGCTAGGAATGTCCGCCTATGGGGCCCGAATCGTCTCCGCGTGATGCGCAAAGTCTGAAAAATGATGTCCTCGAGGCGCAGCCCCTGCTCGTTCCAAGCACGGGTGGCCTCTACCAAGGGCTGCAAGACGAGGTGCCACGACAAGGAGTTGCTGTAATCAGAGATGCGGCCGAAATCAACCTCCAGGCACGAAAGCAATGGCCATCCGCCCTTCAGCGCCAGCTCTCGGAGTGCGAGGAAGAAGCAGTAAATCACGTTTAGACTCTTGCTTCCAATCCGGACGGACCGCAAGTCGGGAAATGTTACCTGGAGTGTCTTCCAAGCAACAACGGGAGCAGCGACGTGCAACCTCTCGAAGGACAGTGTCTGTAGCGGTGCCGTTTGGAATCCATCGCGTAACGCACTTAATGCCGTACTGAGCGGAGAGGTGGACCACGTATAGCCGGTGACACGGAAAATCAGAGGCACAGAATCATTTTCCCAACTCAGGAAGTCTCGAGGAGTACGGATCTTGGCGTGCGAGCAGATCTGGAAGTCGAGTGCATTGTTGGCGGAGACGTACAGATGCTCGCTTTTGCTGAGGATATGGCGGAGAGGTGGTGGGAAAAGCAAAGCGGCCGAATCGGCAACGTCGACATTTGCGGGTGGACAGGCGCTAACGTGAAAGATAGACAGAGCGGGAGCGTCGATCCTCTTCAGGACCCGAGCGACGAACCAGAACGAGCCCTCGAGGCGTATCTTTCGAAGATTATGAAGGCGATGTAGTATAGGCATGGAACCGTTGGGAGCGATGGTATTGGCAGGGGATGACTCGGAGTCATATGAATAATGTTCTTCGGAGACGACCAGAGACTCGAGGTTAGGGGCACCGGCCAAAACGCGGAGAATGTCGTCGACGGGCCTGTCCCGATTTACCACCCCGTCAATGCAAGCCCGTAGCGAACGGAGCGCACCCCAGACATTCGGTGTGCAAGGTATCGCGATATGAGAAGCCACATCCAACCGACGGACCCTCGGATGCAGCTTCCCTGACAGTCCCAAGTCAAACGGGCCAGCTTCCTGCCAGCGGGGATCTCGCGTGTACACTTGGATATTGACGGTTTCCAATGCCGGAAGAGGGGCTTCGAACAAAGCTTTGATGAGAGGAAGGCTCTCGAACTTGAACTTGATCGGTTCCGATGGCTCTGTCTGTATGGAGCGGATGCTGTGCGCAAAAGGGAGAAGCAAAGGCATCGACTCCTTCATCCCTTTGCTGTGGTACGAAAGGATCAAATCAATCGTGCAGCCCACTGTGCGCGAGAGATGGTACTGCAGAGCCTCCAGATTACTGGTGACGCCTATCCTGCGCCATAACCACGGAGTCTGGATACCGACGTTGCGCCAGAGCCGACACACCAGCATGAGCGGCACCCATCCCATCCACGTCTCTGCGCCTCCGAAGTGGAAGGGGTATATATCCGAACTCCTCTGAAAGGGACCCACGAGAGAGAAGATGGTGGTTAGGAGCTCGGTGAGTAGACGGGCGATGGGAGCCGTCTGGATGATGGGCCCATCCAGAGGCGTTCGCGGAAACGGCGGCAGCGAGTGTAAATAACAAGATTAATCCAGAGGCATGAGCGGAAACCGGTCAGCCTTCCCTCCTCGACTGCACAGACTATGAGGACTTACCGGCGAGGACTCCGACTCGGCATCGGGTTTGGGACGGACCCCGCTCACTTCATGTTTCTTCCGCGGTCGTAGGTTGTATTCCATCTATTTCGTGAGTGTGCAGAACGGTTGTGCGCCAGGACGGTGGTGGTTCGAACCCAACCTAGATGGGGCCGGAGCCACAGCTATTGTGCTGTATATATATACAAGCGCCCGTCAGACGAACCTTTGTGACTTTGTCCGACCGGCAAGCGCCCATCTTTGCCGCTATGTATGCGTGTCACTACTTGGGCAACTGCCGCATGTTGATTATTTTCTTGGATATGTCCTTTGAGGTACGCTCCAACGACATCGACTGCCTAAATATCCACAGCATGTTTTAGAAGCCAGCATCGACCAGGTAGCGCCGGCCCACTGCGTAACAGAAAATTAGATGTGGGTTGAGGCGTGAAACATATTGTCAAGCGACCACAAGAACCTATACCATCTCCCGCAGCCACTATCGTGTAGCCCTTGGTACTCTGACACGGCTTTTGACAACGGGAACCGTCCCCTACCAAGGAATCAGCAACAGCTCTGCCGGAGCCGCCGCTCCGGGGTCGAAGGAGAGGGGTCTCCTAGAACGGGGGATGAGCTGATGAGCTCTGTAAAGCCGATCACGGTAGGATCGGCATGAGTCCTGTCCTGTGCACGTAGCCTGGACTGCAGGAGGGGCGGATGAGCACACGAGTGAACCTTGTCTCAAAGTCAAAGATGGCGACACACTGCAGCTGAGCCGGACTCCGGCATGGGCGACAAGGTATGGTACTTAATTCGCAATTCCGGAGACCGCCTCAGATACGGCATTGCATTTGTTTGCGAAACCTCTCAAGACGAGCGTTGAGTCAGTTTCGGGCTGTGGAGATGAGATTGTACGAACTTACCCAACTAGCGGTATTCATAACCAACGAGCTCTGTCGCGCGCCTCCATTTATCTACACAAATGAGATAACACTCACGCGACAAAAAATCACCACATGTGCCTGGCGCATAGTGAATACAGTCGAACGGTACGCTTCAGCGAAGGTTTTGGACAGCGCATGTCGACGCTCGCAAGTCAGACGCACGCCGCATACCGGACCGGAGTCACCGGACCCTCGCACAGTTCCGGCTGCCCTCCTGGTGCGCTGAGTTGCCTCTTGCTTCGTCCCAACGTCCAGTAGCTGCTTCAGCTCCGTATACTACTGCCATGGACGCGACCACCATCCCTACGCGCTGTATGTCGCTACTACTTGTCGTGTTGCCTAACCTCTAGACCGGCCTCCCATCCTGCAGCCAACTCCTGCCACAGTACAATAATAGCAACTTGTCACCCCAGAATGCCTTTCCATGTCCTCGTCGATCTCTACTGTACGGGACCGCTCTCGTCGTTCTTGCTAGGAGAGCGCCAGTGTCACCTTCCGTTGCAAACAGGAGGGCGCATACTGGCGGAACTGGTTGATCAAGATTCAAGTGCAAGGCGAGTGCTCACATTCTGAGTTACGCAGTGTCTTTCTCCGCGCACATGCGCGGGTGTTCGACTGACTCGCGTTCACCTGCATGGACCTGGCTCTTCGTAGATTCTACAGGTACCCATGTCCATGCCGTGACCTTCAAAGCCGCGTCAGTCCTTCCAGCCCATGCCTACTACACCACCCGAAACCTGCGTCGTCCCCGCGCAATGGGCACCACATACTCCATAGAGGCCCCATTGCTTCGGCCGTAGGTCGGATGCTGGTGAATGATTCAGATCGTATTCCGAAAAGATGCGGGGCAGTGTTTTCTTCAAACCTAAGCGCACATTCCTATGTCTACAAGCATCATCTTCTACAAACGGATACAAGCTGGGAGCCCACCATCTCGTCTCGTCCCCCCCTGTCCAGCGGTCCTCACGGCGTACGTGCCCGCCGCCATCTTTCCTCTCCCTTCCGATCATTCTCTCCTCATCACGCTCCAAGACATTCGCAGTCCGTAGGCCAAACAAACACCGCGCGCCGCCTCGAGCAAGCGTCCGAAGTGTTTCGTTCACAGCATCTTCCGCTGAATTTCCCGACAGCATGCGCGAACGCCGCGCTCCTTCGGGCCACAACCGGACGCAAGGACCGGAGGACCTGTTGGTAGCCGATGACCGTGCGATGCGTGCAGGTGGAGGTCGACGGAGCGAGCACGACGGAGTCCGCAGGCATCATTGCCTGCTGGACGCCATTTGCGTTCCGTCGCGCCTTGCAATCTGGCCGGAGCGGGTACGTCTTCGGAATAGACCACTTCGCGTCCCATCAATTGGGAACGGGTCGGCTACCTTGCGTGTCGTATGACTAACAATGTCACCTTCGAAAGGACGTTAGGTCGTCGACGCCTCTCCGCCGCTGTCAGGGTTCCTCTGTTTGAAACTGGAGGGTGGACCGAACAAGGTCGTTCTTGATGTCTCCATAGCAGCGTTGCGGTTTTGCACGTTAGATGACTGGTGCTTTCTATGGTATATCTCCATAGTGGGTCCTCGCTCTTTGTGTTTGTTACTACATTAATGGAGCGGCAAGCTGGTAGAATTCGTCGCTTCCTGGACGGAGAGGAACGATTTATATTTGGCAGATACAAGACGAAGGACAAGGCTTTATGTGAATGACAGTCGTATGTATCAGCAAGCGAGATATCAAAAGCAACGTAAGCGAAATTGAGACCGTCCCGACGGAACACATACATCCGTCCCAATGTAGACAAACGGAACGAAGGTCATTAGTTCAATGTAAATCTACCTAGAGCTTGAATTCATTTGGTATGACATCTTGCAAGCGACGACCCTGGACAGTTCCATTGCGTACTGCAGACCACAGCATCGTCCCGTCGGGAGTAAACGCGACATAATCGACCCGGGAACCGTGGTCGGAAAGAGTTGCCAAGCATAGTCCATCGCCCGTCCTCCACACCCTCACCGTCTCGTCATCAGACGCAGAGGCGATATACTTCCCACACGGCGAGAAGCACGCCTTGCACACGCCGTCCTCGTGTTCCTCAAGTAAATGAACCACAGAACCTGTGTGTACATCCCATACCTTGATCGTCTTGTCTTGCGCCGCTGAGAGCAGCAGCTGACCATTCGGGGAAAAAGCCACATCGTGGACCCAATCTTCGTGGCCCGGCAAGAGCAGAGGCTGCCCTCTAGTCGCTAGGTCCCAGACACGGGTCGTTCCACTTGTATATCCAACAGCGATGTGTGTGCTCGAGGGACTGAATACCGCTATGATAGGAAGCTCGCCCCTCTCCAGACATGTGCTCGGCTGGGTCAGACTCGGGTCAGACCCCTCCTTGACCCAGGTCAGACCTTGGGGTCAGACCCTGGATCAAGCCAAGGCAACATCAACGTCGGAGCTTCCGGGCACGTGAACCGCCGGGTCGGCCGGCCGTTCGCCACTCACTGCTCGAGCGAGCTCGCCTGTAGCGGCCACGAACTGTTCTTTCCAACTGCCCACTGGCAACGTCTCGGCCATCCATAAGCGAGAGGGTGAAACCAATGGCCTTCAGGAACGCTGCGAGGGACTTGCCATGGTGGAGATGGATGCCGACCCAGAGGAGTACTGTCCGGGAAACCAGCGAGGACTCGGAGAGGTGTAAGGTTTAGCAGAGATGCATTATCCGACCTCTACGTCTGTAGGAGCAGTCAGGACGAGCGAATATATACAAACGACATCTATAGTTAGCATATCCCGTCGTCAATGTGGCATATGAGTCCGCCTTGCGCTCAAGCTGCCAGCTGGGCACTTTCACCCTTCCGGCGCTCCCGGTAGTACGCGGTCGACTATTCTACGCGAGGGCCGACCGTGCATCACGTGTTAACCCCTCGAAAAGGTCAGACCCGGGTCAGACCCCGAGTCAGACCCCGGGTTCAAGCCGAGAGGGTCAAGGGGTCGAGTCTTGACCCGCACACCTCTGCCCCTCTCAGCTGGCTGGAGTGAGAGTGCCAGAAAGGTGCGGGACACAATATCCCAGACGTCACAGCTGTACAGATCGTGGACCAGAAGCCACTGGCTGTCAGGGGAGAACAGGGGCTTGAGATATGCTGGGTGGTCGGTGCCGTCGAGAGGTAGCGGCTGGAATGTCTGCTCATCCCAGAGCCGTACGATGTTCTGGCCGTCTACGGATGCGATGTAAATACCGTCGTTGGACCACTCGCAGTCTGTGACAGCAGCAGGATATCCTCCGATGGTGGCAACTTGGCGTGGACTGCCACCGATGTCCCAGATTGCGATCTTGCGTTCTGCACCGGCGGACGCGAGGTGTCTGCCGTCTGGTGAGAATGCGAGGTCCCAGACCTTCCCAGTGTGGGCGAGCCACTCTTGTGAGATACATGCGTCTCGAGCATCCCACAGGATGATGGTGGAATCCTCGGACGCTGTCGCTACCCAACGCCCATCTGAGGAGACGACAAGTGCGGTGACCCTCGAGTCATGCCCGAGTTTGCCAGCTACGCATGTCAATGTTCGAGTCAGAATTGAGATTCCTGGATGATGCTCACAGTGTCTGGTGTCTTCTGCGATCGCCCATGTCTTACCTAGTGGATGCAAGCACCTGCGGAGCTCGTCCGACCAGGAGATCGTCTTCCGCTCGTTCAGGACTGGGCATCCGGCGGGAACCGTCAATAGTGCGCGGTGAGTGGGATACGTGAGCAGGGCCTTCTCCAATTTTGCACAGACCTCCATGGTGGCAGGTCGCCGGAATTCATAGTATAGATGCCCAAAGTTCCGGTCCCAGATGACCAGAGCGACATCTCGTATCGATGTTTCTTTCGATCTAGGCAAGACGCGGACGGCTTCTTGAAGCCTCGCAGGCTCGGCTTGTATCCACCATGTGCAGGAGGTATAGCAATCCTGATCTTCGTCTGATTGAGTAGGCGGAATAGATGACGATGCTAATTTGAACTATATGAGATATACGACTAGGAGACAGAAGGAGATACGAACGAGTACGGTCGCCAATCGCAGGCAGACTAGTGGTCGGCGTTCGAGCTATCTGAGATAGCAGTTCTGTGATGGAGTCGTCCACGTCTCCAAGTATCTGAAAGGAAACACAGAGAGTTACAGACAAGGAACACAGGTGATTATATCAACGCTCACATTCAACGTTCGCAGCTTCAGCCGATGAGATAAGTCCAATTCCCCCAGAGCGGTATGTGACACGATTACTAAACGCTCGCAGGTGAGGTTTTCGACGTTCGGGAAGGCTGGAAAGGAAGCGAAGGAAGATGGTTTGTGTTTGGAATCTAGCCGCGCGGATAGTCAGGCTGCGAAGGCCTGTGGAGAATTGTCTGCCACAAAGTAGTAGAGTATACTGGGGAAGCTGGCTATCGTCCCTGATCACAGACCAAATCCTATCGAAGGTGACGTCGCGGAGACCGGGAAAGATGGACAGCAAGGGGAATGGAGAGAATTTCTCCCACGGAAACGACAGAAATCGCACGACAGGCTGAAGGTGCGACCGAGCGCAGACAGCATCATAGAGCCGAATGAGCTGCTTCTCGCTCTGAATATCGACATCAGTGAAGAGAACAAAGATGCTGCGAGGATGGAGCTGGCTGCAGGTGAGAGCGAAAGTGCACAGCGTGACCTTGTCGCCTGCGCAGAAATCGATGGTCCTCTCGATTACCTCCCAAGGAAGCACCGGAGACTGCGTGGTGGATGAAGCGGAAGGCAAGGAATGCGGGGAGCCTGCGAGGTCGGCCATGGAGAGCAAGCAGGGACTGATAGAAAGCACTTGTCGTCGTTGAGCAATACTAGTACAGCGAGCTTGAGACGCGCAGTAGCGGAGGCTGTGCCGAGATTAATCTAAGTCACATCATGCAGACTGGCATCAGCAAAACTGCATTTCAATTGGCTTGCAGCATGTGCGAAGCCATTCAAGAATATGTCGTCCAAGTTGTGAAGAAGTTCGAGGGCAAGCGGGCACAAATGGGATTCGCGTTTGGCCGGTGCAAACGCGTGCCGTACATAGTACATACAATAGACCTTATATACACAGTAGAATAGGGGTAGATAAGGGCGCGGGTATCCGTCGGGGGGCGGGACCTGTGGCGCTCGTTCCGCGAGCTCGCCATTTTGACGCCAGGATTCCAACAAGTTGTACATTCGATTGTTACAAGCATGCTAAGTTCTCTATGATTCTATTGCAATCCAATAGGGGTCGTAAATATATTCGAAGCCAATCAGGCCAATCGAAGCCAATTGACGCCACCACTTGCCCCGAAGAGCTTCAATTTTCAAGACTATCTTCAGACATGCTTAATTGGTTCGGAAGTTCGCTGGATTGCACAAATATGGTGCTCTTATGTAATCACATATCGTTTCGATTCCGCTCAATTTGGGCATATGATTGGAAAGATGGTATTGCAAGGATATGACGTAATCTACAACAAGATACAGGAGGTACGCCGTGCCCGCAGTAAACTACGACAACTATATACAGAAATGACGCAAGTATCCGGATTGACTCACCGACAATTGGACACGCACTTGGACTCACCAGTACATGGGAGAAATACAAGGGATGCGAAGGCGAGACATACAAACAGAGATTATCACGCAACCTCACCCGGGCCGCCCAAGAGATGTACGTACCTTCATGACTAAGCGCATATATGCGGTGAACATGTCCGATTCAAGCATGCTTACCTTATTTGTCAAATGTGACGACTTACCTTGACGGCGGGTGCGGTATTCGCAAGAAAAGGATGCATCCCATTGGGTATGATGAGGAGAGTACAGCGGGGGAGATGGGAGTCCGGAGGAAAGAGTTGTCAAGAATCGGATGGGATTAGCCTGGCTTTATCTATCGTTCGTAGCGTTGCGTCATAGGTAATGATATATGACGTTGCACGTCAAGCTGTCGGGGGCTGAATCGGGACAGGGCGTCAGTCTGCCTTAGAGGGCTGTACGATATTCTATACATGGACATTTGGGACAATTCATCCTGCAAATGTTGGTTGATTCCCCTTCAATTGGGCTTAGATATAATTGACGCCAATTTTGAGTGCCATGGCCAATCGAGCCAACCGTAGCCAACCATTTTGCACTTTTGCTGATGGGGAAGCGGCTCAGCGACTTCGGGCGTTGGTCAAGTATAATGCCTCACGGTATTGGGCCATATTTCTCAGAGAGGGGTGGTTGGGTGTGGTTCACGTCGAGGGAGAGTCTCGGTGGAATCACTTGTTCCGAGTGCGGCCTGCCTTTGTGAGCGTCGCCGCACGCAAGCGCTTCATGAACTGGTCGTGTCAGACCACCAACCCATCTCTCCACCTGAAGGAGCCTCTTGTGACGATGACTTGTCCGGAAACTTCAACTTCAGCACTGTGTGCCCTCATGTACATTACCAAACCTTCCACTCCATCTAGTGCGGCATTGACGGGAGACCAGCTAGAGATGGTATCCTATATCTACTTACCGTGAGATGGAGTCGTTCGTAGGGTCTCACAATGACCAACACGGTTTGACCGCAATAACGGCTCGCTATCGTTATAGCTTGACAGCTGGCATATACTATGAGTCGAGACAGCAAGAAGCAAATAGAGCTCGCCGACTACGAGAACGGACCGACGATACTCGAATGACAAACCGAACACAACAGAAAAATGAAAAATCGGAGCGCGAATAAGATACATGTAACATGACGATACGTTTTGCGTTGCACACGCCCTCCTCCCTCTCTCTATATCCCGACCGACCGCCCAACCTGACCGACAAAAACAGCAGTGATAGCAAATGACCAGCGGAAACCTGCGTGCGCGGCGTAAAGTGGTGAGGCGCGATGTGTATATGCATGCATGTGTGTAGTATCCCGTCAGTCCGATCGCCTGAACCGACTCGAGAGAACCGCCCTCTAAGCTACAACCCGCGCCCAGACGTTACCTTATCCTTTATCCCAAGCCCAAACTTGAACGAGATCGTGCGACACCCGCCTCACGACGGCCCCCTCAGCATCTTCCGCACAGGGTCCGAGTCCGCCCTCGTCAGCGACCCCCGCCCGCTCCCGCTGCCCCCCGCGCTCGCCGTGCTCTCCGCCGAGTACGCGCGCGGCTTCGCCCCGTGCCCGTTCACGTCCAGAGCCCCCGCAGCCGCACAGTCGTCCGGTACGAACGTCTCCACGTTCAGCCCGCCCGCACCCCGCGCACGCGCCTCCGCGCGGATCTGCGCCTTCTGGCTCGCCCCGTCGTCCGTGTCGGTGTGCCACGACGTCCCGCGCGAGCTCGTCTCCGGCGCCGTCGACGCGCTCCCCGTCGTCGTCGCGCCGTCGCTGTCCCCGGGGCTCTCCCTCACCCGCGCCTCTCGGTGGCCGTTGCCGTTGCCGTTGGCGTGCCCGAACGCTGCGCTGTCGTCGCGCAAGATCTCGTTCGCGAGCCCGCTCGAGCGCTGCATCTGCCCTTGTCCTTGTCCTTGCCCGTCAGGCTGCTGCGACTGCGAAGGAGGCACCCACGGGAAGTATCCCGGCGGCTCCTGCGCATGCGCCTGCGCCTGCGGCTCGCCGCCCACCGGAGGGAAGTACCCCGCGCCGTCCTGCTCGCCCTGTTGCTGCTGCTGCTGCTGCTGCTGCTGTTGTTGCGACGGCTGCTGCTGGGCGGGGTACCCGTAATACTGCCCCGGGCGCACGGGCGCGCCCACCGCGGGGTTGATGAACGGGTTCGCCCCGGTCCCCGGGCGGCCCCAGAACGCCCCCGGGGACATCGCCGTCCCCGGGGAGAACGGTGTGAAGGGCGCCATGACGTGCCGCATGTGGTCGTACATCCCCGCGGGCGCCACCGCGCCTGGGGGCCTGCTCCCGTCTGCCGCCATCTCGCCCGTGCCGGGGGCGGCGGGCGAGGGCAAGCCCGGGGAGCCCTGCGGGAGGAACGTGAACGAGGGCATGGAGGGCGTGATGGGGGGCAGGCCGTGGGGTGTCATCATCGCAATGCCCATGCCCATCATGGGGTGGTGCAACGGGCTCATGGGGTGCCCGTGCGGCGACATCGCGTACGGTGGGGAGAGAGTGTGTGGCGGAGGATGAGGGAACGCGGTCACGGGTGGTGGTGGAGGAAGCGCGATCGGGCCAGGGTGTGCCGGATGGTGGTTTTGCTGCTGGGGCGTCGAATGTGATCTCGAAGACGACGATGGTGAGGTCGCGCCTGTCGCAGGCTGGGACGAGGGCTCCGTCGGAGGCGAAACTTGGCTCTGCGTAGGCAGCGATGGCTGCGACGCAGACCCGGTGGCTGTTGTCCTCGACGGCGCTGTTGAGCTCTCCTGCGCGGACGACGCCGGAGGGACGGGACTGATTTCGTGATGTTGCATATGCTGCTGTTGAGGTGGTTGCTGGGACTGCACGTACCCATCCATCGCGCCCATCCCCGTCCCCGCGCTCATCCGCTGGTACGTGCTCAAGTCATACACGTCATATGGCGTCGTTGGGCCCGAGTGCAAGAAATCAAAAGTATACGGCGACTGTATCGCCGGCGGGATCGGTATATGCGTCGGATGCTGGTGCTGGTGCGAGTGTGGATACTGATGGTGCTGCTGGTGCTGGTGCGAGTACTTCCCCGCATACGGACTCTGTGGCTGCGACCGCGGCTGCCCACCAGCCAGCGACGCATGCGCGTGCGCGTGCCTTCCCGACGGCGAAGCCACCGACAGCCTCTGCGCGAGCTCCGCCGCAAGCGCAGCCGCCGCGGCCTCCTGCTCCCCAGCCGACGACTCCCCCCCATACACCCCAAACGCGCCCGCCTGCTCGCTCGCGCGCCTCGAGCCGAGCAACGACGGCCCCCGCGACTGCTGCTCGACAGACGACGCGAGGAGCTGCTGCGCGAGCGACGCCGCGCGCGACAGCGTCGGGTGCTGCTGCGCGAACGCGAGCGCCGCCGGGGACGCCGCCGAGGGCCCGACGAGCGGCGCGGACGAGCTCGCGGGCGGCGCGAACTTGTCGAAGTGCACCTTGAGCGGGCGGCCGTTGTACTCGTACCTGGAGCGAAACGGGAAAAGGTTAGCTTCTGTCTGCCTGCGGGCTGATGGCCAAATCGAGAGGACAGGATGCGTGCGCGATGTGATATTCTCGTAGGCTGTCGTTTCTCGCGAGGCCCGGCCTAGGCCCCGACCGCCCCCGCCCAAAGAAGCTGGCAGCTGGAGTAAAAGAAAGGGGCAGAGGGCACGCGCAGGAACTACGGTAGGTTCGCTGGGTGCGTTCCTGAGCGATTTCGTGTGTGCAGATCTCGATTTTCCGCAGCTGCACATACCCGCAGAACCTCAGACTCTCAGGAGCCAGCTGTAGACATATGCGCGTCTATATATCACGACTAAATTGTGCCCTGCTTGTTCACGTTCGCAACGGCGTATGAAATTGATAGACCAAAGAGTCCGGGAGACACAAAGTCCAGAAAAACCAAGACGAACGACTCACCCATTAAACATCCTCACCGCCCTCTCAGCGTCCGCCTCGTTCGAGAAGCTCACCGTCCCGAAACCCCTCGAGCGCCCGTCCGCCCCCAGCGCGACGTCCGCCCGCTGCACCGCGCCCGCCTGCCTGAACAGGTCCTTGAGGTCCTGCCACTGTATGTGGAACGGCAACTGCCCGCGCGCAACAGAAGCAGATGCAGCATGGTGAGCCCCTATCGAATACACGCCAACGCAAACAGTCACTCACGTTCCCGACAAACAGGTTCCTACTCGCCTGCGCGCCCGCGCCCGCGCCCGTACCCGGCCGACTCGACGTCGAGCCCAAGCTCACCCCGTCCTCCTCGCCCGACGGCCCCGGCCCCGCGCCGAACGGCGACAGCCCTGGAAACCTCACCGCAGCCGCGAGACTCGGCGCGGGAGACGCGAGCGACACCCCCACCCCGTCCCCACTCCTGCTGGCGTCCCCGCAGCCCCAGGCACGGGCGACAAGCTGCCCACGAGCGGCGTCCCGAACACTCCCAGTCCCGCCCCTGCCGCTCCTGTGGACAGCGGCACTCCCACCCCGCCTACGCCCAGAGGGAACACGGCGCCGGCGAACCCGATCTCCTCGCCCATCCTGTCGGGCCGCACCTCGAGCGTGCGCGTCTGCCAGGTGTACCCGTTGAACATGTCGACGGCGCGCCCGGCGTCCTCGGCGGTCGCGAGGAGGACGGTGCCGTATCCGCGCGAGCGATTGTCGGGCCCGAGGGACACATCTGCGCGCAGGACGGTGCCCGCGCGGCGGAAGAGGTCCTTGAGGTCTTGCCAGCGGACGCGGTATGGGAGCTGCGCGTCGCGGTCAGTGGTGTGTTGATGAAGGCGAAGAAATCGGGTAAGAGTAAAGAGGTGGTACGAAGTGCATAGCATGACGACAGCGGAACGAAGCGAGCAGGAGCTGTGTCGTGCGCCGGCTCGCGCGCACCACACACAGTGAGAAATGGGGTGCGCGGCAAGCGGTCGGCCGAACAAGGTTCGTGGCCACAGAACGTCCAGACGATCACGCCAAGGTTCGCCGCGCGCGTCAGGACGCTCCGCGCTCCTCAGCACGCTGCGGGACGCGCACACGATGGGAAATGGAAGGGCGCAGGTGACGCATGGATAGAAGAGAAGAGAAGAGAAAACGGACGCACATTTCCTACGAAGAGCTGCGTGCGCGTGTCCCGTGGGGGATTGCTCGTCCGCGGGGAGTTGCTAGAGGCCATGGCCATCTGGATGACGGCCTCGATGTCGTCGTTGGTCGGGCCCGAGCCGGCTGCGGCTGGTGAGCTCGAGCTGGTGTGCGTCTTACCAGCGGCAGAGTTTGATGAGACAGGCTTGTCGCTGTGTGTAGAAGACGAGGATGCTCGTGTGGGTGCTAGTGATTGTCGTGCTGTAGAGGAAGCGGAGGGGAGGAGGGAGAGGTGTTGTGATGGGGGTGGCGACTGCGCTGGGGTGGATGCGAGCTGCGCGGATGGTGGGCCGCTAGCACTAGAATGGGGCTGGGGGAAGGCAAAGGGATTGTGTGCGCGTGGAGGCTGAGATGAGGGAGAGGAGGGGATAGAGGATAGCAGATGAGGGGAGGTTGCGTGCTGCGTGTGCGCAGGGACGAACGGCAGAGAGACGAGGTACGCACCAGGTATGATGTGACAGGACGCGCGATGCGGTAATAGGATGAAAATATACAGGACGAGATGGCAGACGGCACGACGGCACAGGAGGCAAAGGACGGGAGGACGGAAGGTCAGCGAGGAAGGGATGGAACAAAGTGTGCAAGGGGGACGCACCGAGGTGGCTAATGGAGGGCCTGCCATTCCGAGATCGATAGCGGAGGGCGCGGCGCGGATGTGTGGTCGTGGCTGCCAACAGGCCCACGGGTGCAGTCGTCGGTCGGGCAGCGGGGTGCGTCGTATGAGTCGGTCTGTGCGCCAGCGATGTGTGGTGGAAGAGTATATATGCGTAGGCGGCAGGACGACGATGAGAGGGCGACAAGGAGACAAAGTGGAGAGAGAGATGGTTGTGCAGACGGGTCGGCAGCTTGTCGCGGACTGCTGCCAGTGGCCGCACTCCACTCGCCTGCTATTTTCCCCACGTGGCGTGACGTCACTCACCCCGTCGCAGTCCTCCCGTCCGCTCAACCTAAGTAACATAAGATACATACACTGCTCCCACCACCATCCACGCCCTCAGCAGCTCTCTCTCTGCGTTCGCTCCTGTCTCCGAAACCTACGGGCCACGCCCAAGCTCGAGATGGCAGGCGCACTGCCGTTTCCAGCTATCAGGACCCTTAAATTGACATGACGTCATGACCCACTCATCATACACGTCCTTGGCACTTCCTCTCCAGGACAGAATCCCACCGGCCGAACAGCGTCCGTCAATCACTCAGACTTTATCGCTTTATGGCCGTGCTCTATCGAATGTCTTCTTATAATCTCTGGTCGCGCCGTGTCCATCTACCTCCTGCACGCTACAGCTCCCAGGAGCTCGTGTACCACGATGCACACAACAAGGATATGCCAGAAATATCCCAACGGAACCATTAATATGCCACTCGGCCAGGGTTCTGACGCCGCCGAAGGTGAGTATATGCGCTAGTACAGTCGCCAAAATACAATGGTTCGCCGTCACCTTCACGCCATCGCGCGCCAGTAGCGCAAGCTGCGCCGGCGTCGCGTGCGCCCTCCCCTCTCTTGGCCAGCAGTTTCCGTCAACTTCCTCCCCAGCACGCGCCTGGCTGTCTCCCGCTTGCACCCCTTCGCGACCACGGGCGCAAATATCTGGATGACATCCAAGCAGAGATCTGGGAGCGCCTGGAGAGGAGCTGCATTCCACACCTGTCATCCGTCTGGGAGATACCTTTGAGCGATACGAGCTTGGGGCTTCGGAGAACATCGTCTGCCGCGCGTCAGAGCACGCTACGCGCAAAAGGGCCGAGTGTCGCAAACCATGCCCTTCCGCATGCTGGCGAGGTGGAGGGCAGGGGAGGATAGGAAGCGGGTGATGACTGAAATCTGCGCAAGGAGGGGAGGAAGACGGCGATCGCACCTCTGTAGTTTTGAGGGACCTACAACAAGTTGCATGCTCCCGCGCAAGGAGGCTTGTGTTCTCCCGTTTAAGGGCTCGAACGCGCTGCCGGAGCTGAACGCGCTTACTGTCCTGCTCCGAAGCAATGCGGCAGGCGGGACCTGTGGCGCTCGTTTCGCGAGCTTGCCATCTTGACGCCAGGATTCCAACCACAAAAGTCGATGCCATTGAACAACAACTCGTTGAGCTACAAGGCTATGGGGAGAACCAAATATCAGGTTGGGCTTTGACAGTCGGGAGGCACGTCGGCGAATCTTTCACGTAACTAAGGCGTCGAGATGTTGCAGAGAGACCACCGCCTCATAGTAGCCCCTTGCCCACTCTGTCCCGTGACGGGTGTTCGCAAAGTCTATCTCCAGCGGCTTACATCCAATGAGCAAGAGCATCCCTCGCCAGATCAGAGAAGTACGGTATTCGTCGGGAACCCATATAACCAAGTTGCTATTCTCATCCATAATCCACCCATCCAGTATCTTGAGTTCTAGGGTAGCCGAGAGCGCGGTCAGATCAATACGTGAACTCCGCGTCAGCGGTCTGAAGTTGACGGCGGAGGAACAATGAACCACGCAAGGAGCTTAGGAGAGTGTCTCTGTGAGTGGCTCAGTCATCAGAGAGTGGAGGCCACTTGCCTGTGAATAGAATAGCGTTCGCGTCCCAAACACGAATGGACTCGCCTGAGCATGATATGATACGACACCCACCCGGTGAGAGCGCGACGTTATCGACATCTCCCGTCGGATCTGACAAAGCTTTTCCAATAGGCTCTCGTGTCTGTGCATCCCACATGCGGATCGTCCCATCCCGTCCTCCGGACACTACCCGTCGGTAGTCCGGGGAATACATGGCTTCATACACACCACCCACGTGGCCACGGAAAGGCTCGCCTGCTGGTGCGTGGTTATCTAATTCCCATACTCGAATCGTGTCATCCATGCCAGCAGACGACATTATATATCGGCCGTCCTTGGACCATGAAATGGAGCTGATAACGTCTTGATGGCCCTCGAACGGCTCGCCGGCGGCGCGCCCCGTCCCGACTTCCCAGACGCGCACGGTCCAGTCCCGGGAGCCCAATGCGATTTGATTGCCATCGGGAGACCAAGCGATGTTCACAACACCTGTGTTCACATTGAGGGGCTCAACGAGTGATTCATGCGTCTCGGCATCCCAGACGCGAATGGTAAAGTCATCCGAGCCTGATGCAATCCGACAGCCGTCAGGGGAGTATTTGGCGTCCAGTACTGCGTCTGCATGGCCACAGAGAGGCTCTCCGACCGGCTGAAGCGTCATCGAGTTCCATACGCGGATGGTCGTATCGCGCGACGCCGAAAGAAAGCGACTTCCGTCGGGAGAGAACCCGATACAAGATATGGTGTTCGAATGACCCTTCGGCTGCGTGTCGATGAGTTGTCCGGTAGCCACGTCCCACACGCTGATTGTGCCATCCCTAGAGCCCGATACAATCCGACATCCGTCGCGCGAGTACGCGAGTGCGGTTATGACGTGCATGAGGACAGAGTCCGTCATGGCACCCGCCGCAACACCTATTCGTATGGTTGCATTAGGTGATCCGGACGCAAGGTGGCGACCATCCGGAGAAAAGCTGAGAGCCCACACGGAATCCGTGTGCTCAACAGCTGGCTCCCCGACCATCTCGTATGTCTCCGAATCCCATATGCAGATTGTTGAGTCCAATGATCCAGAGGCGATTCGCCTGCCATCGCTGGAGAGCGAGAGAGAGTGCACACGCCCTAGAAGGGGGTGGGACACAACCTTCAATGCCTGTCGATTCTGAAAGCCCCATATCCGGATAGTTGAGTCGTATGACCCCGAGACAATCCGGAGACAATCCAGCGAGAAGAGGACGGAAGATACCCGTCGCGTATGGCCTGCTAACGGTCTCCCCATAGATTGCCCCGTCGCGGCATCCCAAAGTCGTACTGTTTGATCCTCGGAACCAGACGCGATACATCTGTTGTCCGGTGAGAAGGCGAGACACCAGACGTGGGACGCGTGTCCGTGGATAGGTTCGCAAACCATGGAGATCGGTTTTGTTGACCAAACGCAAACATAAGAGTCTCCGCCACCAGATGCAATGCGACGTCCATCGGGAGAGTACGCGATACACAACACTTGGTCCTCGTGGCCTAGTAGGGGTTCACAGACCGTCTCCCCTGTCGTGGAATCCCATATGCGCACTGTCTCATCTGCGAGCGCTGCGGCGATGTGGCGACCATCGGGCGATGAAGCGACCGACCAAATCCAGCATCTACAGAACAGCTTGTATATTGCTTCACCTGTTTCTGCATCCCAAACTCGCAATGTCGTGTCGTGCGATCCGGACACAATGCGCTGACCATCGGGGGAGTATGCTACGGAAGTCACAGGGTTGGTGTGCCCTGAGAGGGCAGCTCGAGCCCGGGGCCAGCAGTCATGAAGACAATTGACAAGTGGAAGATAGGGGAAGGATGGCAGAAAGTGGTTTCGGACCTTCAATGTCTTCGGAGAGAAGGGCAGAGCTGACATGTAGATGTGAGGAGCAGCATGCGCTATGACACCAGCAAATCGGCGGATGAAGACAACTGCGTCAAGCAACAACTCCCTCGATGTATCGCTCCCAGAGTCCTGTGACAGTCGTGCTTAGATCAGAATACAAAACGCGGGAGATGTGGCGAGGCTTACATCATACAGCCTCACTGCGGCTTCCAAAGACGGTGCAGCGCGATTGATGGACTTCAGGAGGCTGAGTAGTTCCAACCAGAAGAGAAGCTTGTCATGCAGAAACTTGCTTAGTTCTCGTTGTAGATCTGACGGCAGAGTGGTCACGGGTAGGTGGTCCTTCCAGCTGCACGCTGCATATGACAGACTCCCAGGAACGAACTCCCTAAGACGAGCTTCTAGATCAGGAATGTCACAGTTAGGAAGGTAGGATGTGTCCAAGCGACAGATGTTGAACGAAAGGTATTTGTTCATGACACGAAAGCAACCGAGCGCCATGACGGGATGTCCCTTCGCAAGGTCGACAAACCACTTCTGACTTCTATCCTCGTCGACCAAGAAATCACGGAATGACGTGTGATGCGGACGGATCGGTGTTGTCTGTTTGTATACGCCCGAAAGAAGGGAGCCCATGTCCGCCAGTATAAGATTGGCCTCCTCCTGGGCACCAGTCGCAAGGCGACGCTTCTCATCCAGCGATTGGACGGACAGCGGGGAAGACGCGCAAAGGATCTGGGCCATCACAGAACGAAAACGCTCCATAAGCCCCTCGTCGCTAGAATCGAAAAGCTGCTCCAGAATTCCTCGGTAGAGGTCGTCAAGAGAAGAAGCACCCCCACCCAACACGGCGCCCAGACGCGAATCGAACCGCTCCTTCAAGGTGCGACCGCTCGGCTTCTCAAGTATAATCCTGCAAGCCGTAGCCGCCCACTGGAACAGACCCTCCGCCTTGTCAGCCAGCTTCTGAATGTAGGTGTCATCCAGTGCTTCCTCGGTCTCCGGATCGATTGGGGCGAGCTCGTGGCGCAGGTAGTGCTTGATGTCCACTGCCGCCTCTGTGTGGTCGTCGTCAAGGATCACGTGGCTGGTGGGCGGATGGACGTCGTGCCGATTCACGACACGCTTGACATCAGGCTCGGAACGAGACGTGATGAGGACGCGGACGTTGGAAGGAAGATGTGCGGAACCCTCCGTGAGATGCTTCAGCAGCAGACGTCGGGAGCGCGCGTCGGAGCTGCATTCATCGAACGCGTCGATGACGATGAGCACCGGCCCCACGAGGGAAACTTGCTGGAGAGGCTTGACGATCAGCCACTCCCATTGCGCAGCGATGTCCTTGGATTCCCCGAGCTCTCGCTGACCTCGGAGGACCTCGGCGAGTGTACGTCGGAAGTCGGAATTCCAGTTCGCAAGATCATGCGCGATCGTGCTGAACACGCATCAGGAAAAACTCCCCCTGCGAATTGGCGTTAAGCGAGCTAAATTATCCCTCACCAGCGAGATTAGTCCATTAGTCTAAAAAGATAAGTCCCCTGCTAACCAGCAGCCATTAGCTGCCTTAGTAGGCAGGGTCCGTAGCGGCGGTCATTCATTATTTGCTCGCCATTCAGGCTGTCGTTTGGTCTTTTCAGATTCTAGTTGCTTGTACGATAGATTGAATATATTGAAGGGTACGACAACGACTAGCATGATTACACTGCATAGTAATCTATAAACTTGTATACTAAGTTCCAACATGGTACGCTAATCCGACCTCATCCAACTACACATAGCACTACAACGTGGGCCGGATCCTCTCTTGATGAGCTGATAGTACCGCAACTTACTTCTTGGAGGCGCGAAATGCAAAGTGCGGCTGGGCAAGGCCACAGACGACGACTTACCTTCGGATGTAGTACATTACGCACCTTCGAGTTGCTATGCAGCATGGTATCTTACAACTCACCTGGACCCCAGCTTCTGTAGTATCACTCTCATACCACCATGTCCGCTAGTACTAGATCACCCACCAGTCAAACTGGCCACTCCCGTATGTAGCGGTGAAAGGAAGGAGGAAAGGTTGGGTGGGCACACTGATGTCGGACGGAGCGTCGAGCGCGCAATGGGATGCGGCTGTGGTGTGAGCGCCCGTATTTAGGGCAGGCTTCAATTGACTTGGAAAGACGCAGAGATGGTCTCTCTTGCCTTGTACGTGTTCTGAGCATACAGTCCTTGATTTTTGGGCCTGCAGTAAAGTACGTATGCCTATTATTACCTTCAAGGAACTTATCCAGCTCGCAAATCTCGAGATATAAGACCACCAATGGTCACGGGCGTCATTAGTTGACATTAGCACTAATTTTCTGTGAATTCGCGCGGGGAGTTTTTCCTGATGCGGTTTCTGGGTGACGATCTCCCTGAAAGGCACGATCGAAACAGAAGAAGGAGCCGAGGCGACGGAGGGCTTTGAAGTAAACACCTATGGAATGGGCGACGGAGGACTTTCCAGTCCCGGCGCCACCGAGGAGGAAACGCACGCGAGCGGCATCGGGGTCATTCATCCAACTGATGAGCTCGTCCAGCGTCTTCCGGCGCGTTCCCTCGAGACAGGCCTTGCCCGAATTAAGTCCCGCGCTTTGGACGTGAGCGAGATCGTGCAAGTCAACGGTCGTGTCTTGGGTAGTTGGTGAGGACGCGAACAGACAGGAAGCAATGAGAACATACAGATGTCTTCAAGAATCGCCAGTTTCATTTCCATCTCGAACACTCCTCGTTCGGTGAAGCGACGACGAAGGTTCAGGAAAGCTTGATTGAAGTCGGCAATTTTGCTATCTATAAGGGGACCAGATATTGCGTGCTTTCCCGCTCGGATCCCTGGAGTGGGAGTTTGTTAGAGTCACTGGGCGGCCATGCTCGGAAAGAGATACATACATCCTTACAGAAATTTTCGGCTTGAGTATGGTCCCGGATGAAGTAAGCGCATTCGGCCGTCTGCAACAGCATATCCTTGAGCAGATTCTTGCGATCTTCGTCTATTCTAGAGAGGCGACTAGTCGAGACCACGAATCCGTAGAGTTCATTCATCGCCACTAACAGATCTCTCATAGCCTTATCACGCTTGTCTTGTGCGATCACAGGCTAAGCGCACGGTTCGGATGAGCGGACCAGAGACAAGCTGTGCCATTTCAAGGCCTACCTTAACGATTGAGAGAAGAACTGTGGTAGCTAACTTGGCGTATGGGTGGATCTGAAGTCCCCTGACTCTTAGCACTGTCATACCGCGCACTACAGGTAAAGGGCTGACGCACGTCTCCTATGCCTTCGACGATCAATGCTAATATTTGTACCTTCTCCAATACGGGCTCCAACAGCTCGTACGTGCTCTCGGCATCTTCTGCTATCGGCTCCGCGGCGTCCATCGCTTTGAGAACGTGTTTGTTGGGGGCCTTGACGGAGGAAAGCGCCTTCCCGGCATCTTCGACGTGATTTGCTAAGTCGACCCAGTCGGGGTTTGTGTCAGCAACTGAATCCTGCTGTTCCCGCAAGGGACACTCAGTCAGCTTCAGAGAGATGGATTGAGTGGTATGAGAGTGTGACGATACTTTGTTTGTATGCTGATGGACGACGGGCGCCTCGCGCGGGACGCTTGTGGTGCACTGCGTGCTCGGAAGGTCGGGAAAAACACCACATAAACGCGGCCCTAAAACTCCCAGCTTTTCTTGTAAATAACCCGTCAGAATGACGATCTACTGCCCACTCTCTTTCACTAGATAGTCTAGGATCTCAAGACCGTATTTTTCGCAAAGAAACTTTCCCTTTTACGACCTTCCATTTGCGGGTTTGCACTACATTTGGGCTCCCGATCGCTTGCTGCTCTCTCTGTGGTGCGATAAACACCGGTGTATGACGATAGGCAACCTATTTCATTGTATAGTTACACAGGTAGGTATGTATAAAGAGTGATACTGCAAAATCCATGCCATGGTGTGCCCACTCATGACATGACCGTTGAGGCTACAATCACTCCAGGGTACCCCTTCCCGCCCTCTATGCACCACAGCGACACAAACAAGATAATATCATGATACTCATGGACGACTTACAACAGCCACCGTCAAGACCTATTCCCTGTTTATCCCTCCTGCGGCCGGGGTACACGGTTCTATCTGCGGCCCTGTGGAGAGCATACGTGTCAGTATGCGGTGTACACGTCGTACACATCGAAAAATAGACGACTCACCATTAATGGCTCCGCTGACCCATATGCATGTTCTCCGGACGACATCCAGCCCTGATAAGGGTGAAGCTAAGTGAATGATAGTCAGCTGAAGCTCTTGAGAACAACGATTAGAATTTACTGCACCTTGTTCTCATTGACCCCTCAAACAACAGACCATGGAGCGGCCGCCCGCATGCTATGGAGGGAGCTAAAGGAGAGAAAAGGAATTAGTCGTAGAATCCCAGCAAGCAGCGACCAGTAGTAGCCCCCTAGCCCCCGAGCACGCAGAGCCCAGAGAAACCCAAGCCTGCCAGTATAAACTCTAATAAACGGCAGCAGACACAAGCTAGACAAGCCCTCCGAAAGCGCAAGACTAGAGATGCCCCCCAAGATAAGCACAAGGAGCAGTCGCACCAACAACCGCGAGTCCCGCGACCGCTCCTAAGTCCAACTGTTTGGCCCTATTTGTTTTGAACCGCAGTGGAGGTAGGCGCTGGAGCATCAATGGCCTTGGCGATGGCGTCGTCCTTTTGGTCGACTTCCCAGAAGGTGGATCAATGACGACCTTTTATTAGGCCCCGACCTTGCCCCCACTTAAGGTAGTAAAACGCGATAAGTGCAGTATAACCCCTCACTTACTCAGGTCACTTGGGCACGCAGTGGTGGTCTCGACTTGGGGATTGTTCACACTTGACTTGTGATGTTTCCTGAGATGTTTCAACGCTTTTGCCTTCAATTTGCGCGCGGTGTTCATTGGTGGTGGGGAGACGTGTGGCGATGTCGGCAAGTCGATGGTGCAGCGTTGGCCCGGGCGTGGAATGGCAGGTCAGTACTTGGACAAGTTCACACGGTCATGAGCTATGGCTCAGGCTCCGGTGCTGGGTGAGTTGCGGTCAATGAGGTCCCGGAATCCGACAACTAGACTAAACTCGCAAACGGTGCGGCTCTTCATGAGCGACCTGAGCAGAATCTCTTCGAGAGGGCCGAAAACAGTATGTGACGTTCTGCCAAACTAGTAGACAAGCGCAGTATACTAAAGAGTCCGCAGATTGCACTAGGCTGTTGACCACGCTAATCGTTCTTGCTGGCCGCCCGCTCGAAACGCCCTGCGAGGGCACGACGATGAGCGTCATAGTCTGATTAGACCGGACAACCTTTTCTCTACAGCCACTCAAAATTACGCAAACTACTCGGGCAATTGTACGACACTCAAGCTCGTCCCGCCGCTCCGCTATGTTCATATCACAGGCGATAGCATGGTGCCTCCCTGCACTTGCAACCAGGACTGCATCTCCAACCGTACTCGCATTCCCTCTCCAACGCGCCAGAGGAAAGCGACACATGCTCGCGCCCTTCACGCCGTGAGAGCACCATGAAGACCTTGGAGGCGTCATCCACTGACTCCTTTCCCCTGCGCGCATCATTGTAACCCCGACTCGAACACTTCTCATAGATTTGGTCAGCAAACTCGGCCCCGGAAATGGCCCACCGGCGCCGATAGCCATAGAAGTCATAGAAGCAAGCTAACAGATATCCAGAAGGCCCACAAGTGGGAATTTTGGTGACCAACTACCATAAAGGATCGCACAGTGCCGCAACAGTCAACCGCATTTCCGCAAAGAGCACTGAAGTGTTAGAGGTCCTAGTAAAACGTCCATCTGAAACACCTTCCCTGCCAGCTGGCACCCCCCTCCGGGACTTGCAAGATGACTACAGGAACCTCGCAACCATCGTGCATGGCCCTAGCTTATTTTCGGCACTGTCTTTATATACCATAACAGTTCTCTCTCGTCGATAATACACCTGAGTAGCCTACAACGAGGTATGTAAACCTCTGGGATATCGGGCCAGGGAGGTATGAGACCTCCCAACCACGCATATGATTGGCTGTCAGCCTAGGACATCAATACGGGCGCATCAAATTTTGATAGCTGGACCGGTGTACATACTCGAGGCAACTTCAAGGAGCTCGAATAAAAACCATACTCCCTCTGAGGAGGTCGCAGTAGTTGACGAGGCAGCATTTTTCCAACATGTGAAGAGTGTTGTGCAGGCGTGGCGGGTGAGGAGGGTGGGGGACGCGCGACGCAAAAGACCACCGACGCTGTCACCACGGGCGCATCAGCGCGCTAGTTTTGATGATCAAAGTTCTCAATCAGCATTGTGGCGTTTGATGCCAGATTTAGGGTTTGCGCGAAGAGGACCCGCCATTCGTGCTCCCTCCCCTCCCTCGCTGCGCTCGGGGGGTCCCCCGAGCCGGGAGCACTCAGGCGGGCACTCTAAAGCCTCGTTCGCGCGAT